TTTAGCTAACAGTGTAGCTCATTTAGCTTTTAGCTAGTTTTTTTTTTTTTTTTGGGGGGGGGGGGGGGGGGGTGGGGGGTGTTTTTGAAGTAGGAATAACGGGAGCCTGCTCGGATCATAAAGAGGAAAAATACCCAGAATTCCTAGTGACATCCAGGTGTCCTACTGCTAAGACGTGCGTTCCTGCACGTACGCGTTCCATTAACCGTTTCACTGCTGCTCGTTTTAATGAAGGTTTTAACTCTGAGAGGATCGAACAGTTCCCGGTGTCTCTTACCACTGAGGAGCTAACCTCTCAGTTCAACTCTGCCTGTTTAGATGTTCTGGACCGTGTTGCTCCCCTTAAGACCAGAAAACCAAAACTTAAATCAGAGCCTTGGCTGAATGACGTCACGCGAGCCGTTAGGCGGCAGTGTCGCAGAGCTGAACGAAGGTGGAGGAAGGACAGGCTGCAGGTTTCTTTTCAAATGTTAAGGGAGAGTTGGCGTCACTATCAGAAACCGTTAAAGCTGCCAAATGTAAATTCTTCTCTGATTTAATTGTCTCCAACTCCCACAACCCCCGAGTTCTTTTCTCCACCCTGAACTCAGTTCTACACCTCAGTGAGCCTTCACCTCTGGAAGCCTCAACTGAGCTGTGTGAGAACTTCCTCCATTTCTTTTTAGAAAAAGTGGCAAACACCCGGGCACTCATTTCTCCACCAGCTCATGATCTGTCCATCCCATCTCAGTGTGTGGCTGTGTTTGACCACTTTGAGCCCATCTCTCTGTCCTCTCTGGAGCAGGTAATGTGCAGCATGAAACCATCTGGTTCCCCCTTTGATGTGGTCCCCCCTCGACTGCTAAAGGAAGTTTTTCCTACCCTGGGTCCTTTTATTCTTGCTATTCTGAATAGCAGTTTATCCTCAGGTGTGGTGCCAAAAACTTTTAAACATGCTGCTGTCGAGCCCCTCCTGAAAAAACCTAACCTTGACCCCTCAGTCATGTCCAACTTCCGGCCTGTCTCCAGACTCCCATTCACCTCTAAACTACTGGAAAAAATTGTGGAGTCTCAGTTTAACAGTTTTTGGGGGATCACGCTATCCTAGAGTTATTCCAATCTGTCTTCAAATCTCTCCATAGCACTGAAACTGTTCTACTGAAGGTTTTTAATGACATTTTCATATCCACAGACGCAGGTGATTCTGTGCTGCTTGTCCTATTGGACCTTACATCTGCTTTTGACACCATCGACCACAAGATCCTCATTTCTAGACTGGAGCAGTGGGTGGGCATCACAGGGTCAGCCCTTAAATGGTTTGGGTCCTACCTATCTGACAGAACCTTCTGTGTCAATATCAAAGATTTTAGTTCGGCATCGACAGCGCTCCAGTGGGGGGTACCACAGGGGTCCATCCTCGGTCCCCTTCTCTTTTCTTTATACCTGCTGCCACTAGGTGCTATCTTCCGCAAACACGACATACCCTTTCATTTCTACGCCGATGATTGCCAAATTTACTTCCCCCTGAGGCACAGAGGCACACGCTCTATTCAGCCTCTTCTTGACTGCCTGGCTGACATCTGGGACTGGATGGCTTTAAACTTCTTAAGCTTCAATGAGAAGAAGTCTGAAGTCATGCTGTTCCATCCCAGTGGCTCACTCATGAACCATGACATTGACCTTTTCTCTCTAGCCCCGCTAGAGAAACAAAAGGTCACTAATCTGGGGGTGATAATGGACCCGTCCTTAAAACTCAACAGTCACGTAAACATTATGGTCAAATCCTGTTTTTTTCAGCTGAGACGGCTGTCTAAGCTGAAGCCTATACTCTCCAAAAAGAACCTTGAGACAGTGATCCACGCCTTCATAACATCTAGGCTTGATTACTGCCATGCTCTTCTGTTTGGAATCAGTCAGTCCTCCATTGCTCGTCTACAACTGGTCCAAAATGCTGCAGCCCGATTTTTAACTGGTACAGGCTATAGAGAGCACATCACGCCAGTTTTGGCCTCCCTGCACTGGCTACCCATTCACCTTCGGATCCAATTCAAAATTCTCATGTACGTTTTTAAATCACTGAACAGTTCCGCCCCATCCTATCTCACTGATCTTCTGCAGCCATATGTCCCACCGCGCTCTCTGAGGTCAGCAGACCAGATGCTTCTCTCAGTCCCAGAAACCCGTCGTAGGCTCAGAGGTGACAGGGCTTTCTCTGTTGCAGGTCCAAGACGGTGGAATGAGTTGCCACTGAGTGTCCGGCAGGCTCCCACACTCTCAGACTTTAAGTCTCGCTTGAAGACCCACTTCTATTCTCTTGCCTTTAACACGGTGTGATTTGTTTTGGTCCGGTCTGTTCTCTACTCTGTTGGCCATTTTAGTTAGCTTCTGATGCTATTTGTATCTGTATTTCTATTTTATGTTTTCCTGTCTGCTGTGCATGTTTGTGTTCTTTTGTACAGCACTTTGGTTGGCCTTGTTGCTGTTTTAAGTGCTATATAAATAAACTGGTATGGTATGGTATGGTATGGTATGGTGTTTACTTCCTGTCCGAGTTGTCAACTAGATGAAGTCCAAACCAGTTCCGTGTCGTTCTTGTGCGTGAACAAAAGCTGCGGGAGTTTCCTGAAGGAACAAAGATTCACTTCTGTGGACCGGACAACTACAAGGACTTGATGTGTCACAACAAAACACGTTTTTAGCAGAAACAACATCAAACTCCATCTTTGAGATGAACAAAGTTCATTTTAACCAAACTATTATTGGAACAACCGCAGATGAAGACAGTTCTTCATAAACACCAAAGAACATTTGCTGAAATGTTTAAAAATGGAGAAATGTTCACGATTTTACTGATGAAATCTTTCATGACTGAAGCTGTTTCAGAACAACGAGCTATTTATTCAGTTTGTGACTAATATCAAACGTGAAGTTTTACTCCACGGTCTGATCCAAGCACGTCACCTGCTCAAACCCGGACAGGTGAGAGCAGGTGAATGACATGCTAACGCGTTAGCCATTAGCTCGGTGAATAAACAGCTGCGGGGTCGTTTAGCTGCTCGGTCACACAGCAGCTAAATGCTACGGCTACATTTTGAAGAGCGGGAACAATCTAAAGCTAAAGTGGATAAAATAATAACTGTTCAATGATCGATTGATCCAGATCAGATCAACAGATCAGCGCGCGCGAGCCGCCATGTTCTTTAATAAAACACGTCGAGCCAAAGTCAGAACACAAACACAAACATGTATTTACCTGTTGTTTACTCCACAGATGTTCCGCCGTGACGCCGCTCCGACAGAACACGAACCTGCGTCAACCTCGTATCCGGTGCGTCCGTTTCAAAGTAAAAGTCGGACCTTCCGGTGTCCGCGCCAGAGAATAAAAGCCCTGGTAAAGGGAAGCTCGCCCTCTGGTGTAGAGATTACAACAGATTACAACAGATTACAACAGAGGACCTCTAAAACACAGAACCACCACTCTCTCGTGACGTTCTTTCATCTTAAATACCAAAGTGACGCTTGTCTGAAAAACTCTTTTCATAAAAATATAAAGTTATTTACTGTAATCTAAACACACTGACACATATTCATGATCACTGATGTTTCTGTGTTCGTGATAGACATAGTTTTAAACATAGACATAAACAACCTGTTTAAATTAAGGTTGAATGAATAAAAACTCAATCATAATCTTCGCCAATCCCTTCGCATTTGCCACATCCAATATGGCGGCAACGTCGGTCCGCCTACGGAAGCCCAGTCAGTTTTGTTTGTTTGCGGAAGTGTTACGCACAAACAGTTCCGTGGAGCTCTGGCCAAATCGTTAAGTTTAGCCGGGGTTATCCCGGGTTAAGTTAAGTTATCGACAGAAAGTCCAGCAGAATGCCGAACGGTTCGGAAGCCAGGGACGGGTCCACACAGAAGTTCGGCGCTTCGTTTTCTGACTAAGTTGGTCCGGACTCGGACTGATCATGTCAGGAGGAAGACCCGGTGGGAGTCGGTCAGAACCACGGAGCGGGTTCAGACCGTGGTTCGGTTCGGTTCTGTCGGTTCTGGGCTCTGCTGTTACTGTGGCTGTTGTCGGCTTCTTTTGTGCTCTCGTTTACCCCATTCTGAGAGGTAAGAACCGAACTGATCCACTTTTGATTTCCGGCGGCATGAGGAAGGACTGCCCTACTGATGTATGGCAGGCTTTTTCTCATATATTACTCAGATCAGATAATGTTGACAGGTAGAGTGCATGGCAAGCACTTTTATGATATAATACAGTGAACAGGCTCTTCCAGCTCTTCTGGGAGGACTCCAAGGTGGTCCCAGAGCAGCTAGAGACGTAGTCCCGTCAGACCCTTCCTGGGTCTTTCCTGGTGTCTCCTTCCAGTCAGACATGTCTGAACCCCCTCAACTGTCTCCTCTGGATGTGGAGGAGCAGTGGTTCTACTCCGAGTGTCTCCTGATAACTGAACTTCTCCCCCTGTTTCTGAGGGAGAGTCCAGCTACCCTGCAGAGGAAACTCATTTCAACCTCCTGGATCCATGATCTCATTCTTTCAGTCACTACTCAGAGTTCATGACCAGAGGTGAGTGGAGGAACGTAGACCAACCAGTAAGCAGCTTCTCCTTACAGCTCAGCTTCACCACATTGGACTGGAACAGAGTCCACAGTACTGCAGAAGCTGCACCATCCATCTCTTGATCTCACATTTCCTTCTTCCCTCACTGTGAACAAAGCCCTGAGGTACTTGAAGTCCTCCACTTGAGGCACACCCTCAAAAGAAAATTACAAAAAGGTCCTGTCCCAAGTATTTTTTGTTAACTTTTTATCTCATACCGTTCCAATCGCTTGAGTAATATTAAAGTTGACAATCGTTGACAAACCACGAAAGAGCAAGTCCAAATGGATTAAAAAACAGAATATCTCCACTGTTGAACTCAGTAGGTTTCACTGCATTAATTCCTGGGTTTGAGCTCATGTCAGGTCTACGTAGAGGTAGAGATCGCGTCATTGCACTAAAATCAGCCCAATGTGTCCACAGTCAGAAAAACAGACGCCTCAAATGAAACGCTGTTGGATATGCATGTTCGAATCACTGGCCATACGTTCGGATCTGCTTGACGAACGCAGGTCATTGAACAGTACTGCCCCATAACGGTAAATAAGTTAAAAAAACTGAGATGAATCACAAAAAATAATTTTAAATTCCATTTTAAATGATTGGTAAAAATAGTTTAAAAATACATAGAACAAAACAATACACAGCAAGTTCAGTAAATACGTCATTTACATTGTTTATTAGGAGAAACTGCTAACAGTACCATGGTGCTAACAGGACCGTGTTGAGAACCTCATGGTGCTAATGGGACCATGTTAAGAACCTCATGGTGCTAACGGGACCATGTTAAGAACCTCATGGTGCTAACGGGACCGTGTTGAAAACCTCATGGTGCTAATGGGACCATGTTAAGAACCTCATGGTGCTAATGGGACCATGTTAAGAACCTCATGGTGCTAACGGGACCGTGTTGAGAACCTCATGGTGCTAACGGGACCGTGTTGAGAACCTCATGGTGCTAACGGGACCGTGTTGAGAACCTCATGGTGCTAACGGGACCATGTTAAGAACCTCATGGTGCTAACCGGACCGTGTTGAGAACCTCATGGTGCTTACGGGACCATGTTGAGAACCTCATGGTGCTAACGGGACCGTGTTGAGAACCTCATGGTGCTAACGGGACCATAGTGCTAACGGGACCATGTTGAGAACCTCATGGTGCTAACGGGACCATGTTGAGAACCTCATGGTGCTAACGGGACCATAGTGCTAACAGGACCGTGTTGAGAACCTCATGGTGCTAACGGGACCATGTTGAGAACCTCATGGTGCTAAAGGGACCGTGTTGAGAACCTCATGGTGCTAACGGGACTGTGTTGAGAACCTCATGGTGCTAACGGGACCATGTTGAGAACCTCATGGTGCTAACGGGACCGTGTTCAGAACCTCATGGTGCGAACGGGACCGTGTTCAGAACCTCACAATGCGAACGGGACCATGTTAAGAACCTCATGGTGCTAACCGGACTGTGTTGAGAACCTCATGGTGCTAACGGGACCATGTTGAGGACCTCATGGTGCTAACGGGACCATGTTGAGAACCTCATGGTGCTAACGGGACCGTGTTGAGAACCTCATGTTGCTAACGGGACCGTGTTGAGAACGTCATGGTGCTAATGGGACCATGTTGAGGACCTCATGGTGCTAACAGGACCGTGTTGAGAACCTCATGGTGCTAACGGGACCATGTTGAGAACCTCACTGCCAACAGAACCACTCTGCCGTTACGGACTGGCCACCGCTACTGGAGTGCTTGTCAGAGTTTTGGACCTTTTGCTCAAACACGGTTTATCCAGCTCTGGTTTATGTGAACCAGACTGTAACTATGTTTTTAGTTGTTCCCTTAAACAAATCCAAGATGTTGCTTTTGTTCTGCTGCGGTGCTAACATGTTTTTTTTTCAGAGCTACGAGCAGAAAGGATGACAGAAGAAAGTGGGACAGAGGAGAGGGTTCTCGGTCAGTCAGGATCCATTCATCTTAGAACGATTAACTGTAAACTGAAGAACTGTGGATGGCTGCATGGTTTTTCTCCAACTGATGAGTAGGATGTATATGGAACGTCCCATGAAATGTGTCTTTCTTCAGGGTTCTGGACTATCCTGGTGCTGGCAGTGCTCGTAGGATGCGTCTGCTGTGTCTTCTCATGGACTATCACCTACTTGGACACTCACCAGCCTGGCAGAACGTTTCCATCCCTCCTGTCACTGCGCAGCTTCAGGTGACCTGAAGCTGACCTGCATGTCCATGTATGTGACAGGTCTTTACACATTAGATTACCACTAATGTCCTGTTCCGCTCTTACAGACATGAACCTGGGTTTAACCTGAAGTCCGGGGTTGCTGCTCTCAATGGGATCATGGTCGTCCTCACCGTCATCTGGAGCCTGTCCTGAAACTCTCACTGACCAGCAGATGATCAGAGAAACTGTTCAACATCACATCAGACCATCTTTGTCCTGCTAGTTGTCTCTGTCCACACTGAAGACACTTTAGTTATGTGTGGACCAAGAGTCACTGAATTCAGTCAGAGCTGTTTTAAATGCAAAGAGTCACAACTTCAAACACTGTGCATACTCTCAAACACCTGGTATACTCTCAAACACCTGGCATACTCTCAAACACCTGGTATATTTTCAAACACTGTCTCAAACACCTGGTATACTCTCAAACACCTGGTATACTCTCAAACACCTGGTATACTCTCAAACACTTGGCATACTCTCAAACACCTGACATACTCTCAAACACCTGGTATACTTTCAAACACCTGGTATACTCTCAAACACCTGGTATACTCTCAAACACCTGGTATACTTTCAAACACTGTCTCAAACACCTGGTATACTCTCAAACACCTGGTATACACTCAAATACTTGGTATACTCTCAAACACTTGGCATACTCTCAAACACCTGGTATACTCTCAAACACTTGGCATACTCTCAAACACCTGGTATACACTCAAACACCTGGCATACT